CATGATGACAATTCATTACATCATTGAGCAAATAGTACATAAAATGAATAATTAAATAAACTACGAAGTATTTTCTTTTATGTTTTCATGATAAAAATGATAAGAAAAGAAAACAAAATATTATATGATAATTTCTTTAGGTAATATACTTGATGCTCAAAATCTTGATCGTTTAAATCAAAATGGTATTACACATATTGTAAATTCAACACCAGATTTACCATTATTCTGGGAAAAAGAATGTCAATATATGCGAGTTGATGTACTTGATTTACCATCTGAAAATATTCGAAAATATTTTGATAAAACATTTCAATTTATTGGTTAGTTTACAATTTAACTATTTTTTAAATATTAAAAAAAAAAAAACAAAAATACTTATTTCATAAATCTAGATGAAGCATTGCATATAAAAACTAACAATGTTCTTGTTCATTGTTCAGCTGGTATTAGTCGTAGTCCAACATTGGTACTTGCTTATATGATAAAAAAATATCATATGACATTAGATGAAGCATTTAATAAAATGCGTCAATTACGTCAAATAGTTGATCCTAATATTAGTTTTATTGTACAATTAAGAGATTGGGAAAAATTAAATCAAATGACAACAACAACAACAACAACCATTGAATCAACTGATGATAATAATAATAATAATAATATGACTTGTACTAGCACAAGATCAACATCAAATAGTATATATTGTGGTTCAACATCGAAAACTAAGACAGATAAGAAATCACGTACAGAATCAGCTATTATTGTTACTTAGTAAAATAAATTTTCTCAAGAATGTTACTAGTAGCTAATCTAAAAAACAATTTTTTTTTTTTTTGCAGTTTTCTTTTATTTTGTGTTCGTATTTTCATCTATTATTAATTTCGAAAATGTATATATATATATATATATACAGAAAAGATAAGTATCATCTTTTCTATAATCTTTGTTTAGCGGAAAACAATTCGTCTATGGATACAAAAGAACGCATTTCTTTTTTTTTTTTCTTGTTAATACAAGAATTTTCTTTTTTTTATTATTATATACATTCGTATATATAGAATTAAGAAATACTTCTTCAGTTCTTCCACTTTGTTTTTTCTTTTTGATATGAAATTATCTCTTTGCGTTCTTTTTTTTGTTTTTTTTGATTGTTGTATATTATTATGAAAGTGTGATGACAGAGCAAAATAAACCTTGTCTTGCTTTCAGTATTCCTTGTGCGTCTTGTATTTTGTATTTAATCCTGTAGACGATATTATTCATATGTTTGGTCGTGTTCTGTCGTCTTTTCTATTTGTATACATTCAGAAATGTATTATGATTATAACAAAAAAAAAAAAAAAGAAAAAAGCATAACGTCTTATTTTATAGTAAACAATGGAAATAGAACATGAATGAACCATAATCAACAAAAAGATAATTATTATTTGGTTTAATGAATTTGTCAAACTATGAATAGTATAGTAATTTATTATGAAAATATTTTGAATGATATAAAATAAATTCTATTATTTTTATTTTATAGAAAGATTTATTTTAGTTTGAATTTTGTTTAATATATAATTTCTATTTAATCGAATAAAAAAATTATTCATACATTCTCATGATAAAATAAAAACAACATGCAAATATGTTTTATGTATTGATATGTTATTGACAAGCAAAATTTTTTTGTGTTTTGTTTTTTTTCTAAATATCAAACCTTGATCAATGAATCGAGTGTCATCAATGTCTTTTTTTTTTTCATTGGCAAAACTTGTCAAAAACAAAAAACAGTCGCTCAGCATATGTAGATATCAGATGATCTATAAGCAATACCTGTAGATTTATCATTGAAGATATTTTCGATGATTACATTCATAATCGCAACTAAATATCAATTACATAAGGTAGTCCTGTGTCACACACGGTTAAAAATTTTTCAGTGTATTAACTATAAGCAATAAATTTTCGCAACATAAAATCTATATACATTCGTACTCGCTCTATGTAATTTTCAATCTAGAAGATAAGTTGGAATTCATCGATCTCGTCCCTCTCCGACGATTCTGTATACGTAGTCATCTTTAATAGTCATATACTTTAATACATGTGTGCTTGGGAATTATTTTTTTTTATCATTTAGTTGAATAATCTATTCATAAAATGTCATTATGGTTAAAAAAGAAACTATGTTTTTTTTTTTCGAACATAGACAAGATAGTTATCATCCTTGTTTTCATGGCGAACTATATTGAATACAAGAAAGAGACTGTCATAGAGATAGCGTGTGAGTGCGAATGATATTAATTATATGATGATAACTATCA